CTCAGTCATGAACATGACCCATAGTGGCTGCATAACAGGTGACTACAGGAGTCTCAAATACCTATTCACCAGGTGGCCAGGAAGACTGGGACAGTGGAATCCTCCAGGTGACTTCACTGTGAAGTCTCCCCGGGTGACTTCAGAGGCTCATGTACTTACTCAGCCTCAATGTCCCTTTGGGCACCAGACCCAGCTACTGGCTATTCCTCCGAGATCTTGTGCTAGTACCTGGAGAACTCCCATGCATCCTCCAAAACCCCAGACCCTCTTCCATGCAGCTTCCAAAGTAGAACTCCTGTTTACTACGGGCCCTATCCCTCCCTCTATCCCCTGGACGCCAGGGCCAGAGGGAGCCACCCAACTGGGTCCCACCCACACCTACATACCAGTGCCCAGACGGTCCAGGGGGCTTTGCCGGAGTAGTCTGGTGATGAGGTCCTGGGCGTCAGCTGGAAGGGCCTCGTCCCCCTCTGGCCACATGATCTCATCTAAAATGAGGGAAGGGCGCTGGCTGGTTAGCTCACTTGGGAGAGCATGGTGCTGAAAACGCCAAAGTCAGGGTTCAGATCTGCATATGGCCACCCACACTCACACAAAATTCATATAAAATGGGGGGAGGGGAGGAGGGGGCAGGGACAGCCCATCCTAGCACCTCCTGCCACCTCTTCTCAATTCCTCTGCTCTATCAACCCCCCAGCTTGGCCCCACCTCACAGGTGCTCAGTCCTCACTTGGGCTGCTCCCCTCCCTGACACGCCCAGGGCCACGAGGGAACGCACCGCTGACCACCTGGCCAAAGAGCTCCTCAGGGGTATCTCCGAAGAAAGGCACGCAGCCCACCAGGAACTCATAGAGGACGACGCCCATGGCCCACCAGTCGACCGGCTTCCCGTAGCCCTGGCGGAAGATCACCTCCGGGGCGATATACTCAGGTGTCCCGCACACCTGGGCCAGGCAGAAGAGGGAAACTGAGGCCAGCCCCCAGCCTGGGAGAGACCCCAGGAGAGACGGGGAGGCTG